GGAAAAATTTCAATACCAAAAATTAGGTTCATGATTTATAGAGAGTCCATATATCGCTATATATGGAGGTAGGGACTTAGATATATTGATGGTGAAAAACAAAGACAGTTTGGGGGAAAGAGAGTTGGTGGCTGACCAGAAATTTACTAGTCTTTTCTTAAAAAAAGATGAATTTTGTGAGAGAGCATTTAGTATAACATGATTCCCCTTCTGACTGGGCTAACCTATATCAAGTAAACTCAGATGAGTTGAACATGAAAGAGTAGAAAATGGGAAGAAATAAAGTAAATTCCTTTGCTCAACTATGTGGCCCTATGTAAAGAGAGGGGGGATTCCTTCATCTTTAAAACAATACATCTTTCTGGACTGAATCCAACTAAGCTCTAGGCATATTAAGTTGGGAATCACTTATTTATAAAATATGTATACATATCGATAACATAGGTTTCAAGAATCTGTAGACTCTGCTTCTCTGACCACCATGCCATAAAGTTGGAAATCAACAAAAGAAAGATTTAAAAAAGGGAGGGGGTGCAAATACTTGGAGGATAAATAACTTTCTTCTTCAAAAGGAGGAGATATTGACCCAAATTAGTGATAAAATTAGCCAGTTTCTAGAAACCAATGAAAATGAGAGCACACCATACCAATATCTACGGGAGATAGCAAGACAGTCATCAGAGGACACTCGATAGCGGTAAAGGCACATATGAAGAAGGAAGACAGACCTATGATTGATACCCTCGCACAAAACCTTCAGCAGATGGAACAGAGTCAACAGAAGAAACCTTTAATAGCAAGGGAAAAGATATAAAAATAAAGGTGAAAATAAATGAGTGGGAAAACAAAAAAATATGGAGAAAATCAACGCAGTAAAATGTTGGTTCTTCAAAAGGATGAACAGAATTGACAAACTGTTGGCAAACCTAAAAAAAGATATGAAGGAGCAGGTGTCAAAACCCAGGCTGAGAGATGAAACAGGGGCAATTACAATAGGCCCCAACAAAATTAAAAGGTTAATTATATAGTACTATGATTGTCTGTACCCTAAGGAATACAATAACTTGGAAGAGACGGAAAAATGCCTAGAAAAAAAGATCCTCCCTAGAATATTTCATAGAGACATAAAAAACTTGAACAAACCCATAGCAAATGGAGAAATACATAAGGTCATCAAGGAACTACCAACTAAAAGAAGCCCTGGCCCAGATGGCTTCACAGGAGAATTCTACTAAGCATTCAGGGGAGAGCTGACACCAATTCTACACAAGCTCTTCCGGTGCATATAAAAGGATGTTAAACTCCCAAGTATATTCTATAGTCAGTAGTAACACTGTTACCCTAATTGGGCAAAAATCCCACAATAATAGAGAACTATAGGCTGATATCTTTAGTGAACATAATAACAAAAATATTTTACAAAATCTTAGCCAATACGATGCAAATGTATACAAAAAGAATAATCCATAACGACCAATTGTGATTCATACCAGGGATGCAGGGATGGTTCACCATCCCAAAATGCATTAACAGTATCCATCACATTGAGAAGAAAAAGGACAAGACCCACATGATAATATCAATAGAATCAGAAAAGGTATTTGACAACATTCAACACGGATTCCTAATTTAGACACTCATGAAGTAGGACTGGAATGAAATTACCTTGAATATAATTTAAGTTATACATGAATTTCCAACCACCTGTGTTACAATACATGAATTTTCAACCACCAGTGTTACAATCAGTGGAGACAAAAACATTCCCACTAAGAAAGGGAAACAGACAAGGATGTCCCTTGCTCCCACTTCTATTCAACACAGTTTCTATTCTATTCTATACGGCTTGGAGGTCCTAGCTAATAATATAAGGCAACAGAAGGATCTAAAAGATATACAACTGGGGAAAGAAGTGAAATTATCGTTATTTTCAGATGATATGGTTTTATATAGGCTCCACAATAGGACTGTTGGAAGTGATAGAAGAATACAGTAGAGTGGCAGAATACAAGATCAACAAACATAAGTCAATTGGATTGCTATATGCAAATTATGGGAACACAGAAAATAAGATTAAGAAGGTAGGTATTACCCTTGACAATAGCAAAGCATACATTGAAATATTTAGGGATATATCTAACCATAAAACAAAGGATCTGAATGAGAAGAACATTATTACAAGAAACCAAGTGGGACCTTCACAAATGTAAAAATATCCCATGTTCATGGATAGATAAGACTCAATATTGTGAAGATGTCAATCATACTTAAGGCACTATATAGGTTCAATGCAATCCTGATACAAATACCAGCATCATTTTTCAAAGAAATGGAAAAACTGACTACCAATTTCATTTCGAAAGGAAAGAAACCCAGAATTAGCAAAAAAAAAACTCTCCTCAAAAAGAAGAATAAAGTGGGTGTGCTTCCATTACCTGACTTTAAAACACATTATACTGCCACAGTTGTTAAACCAGCACTGTATTGACATAATGATAGAAACTCAGACCAATGGATAAAAACAGAAAATCCAGAAATAAAATCAGCAGAATACAGACAACTGATCTTTGACAAGGGCCCCCCCAAATCAAATGGGAAGCAGATGCCCTTTTTAACAAATGGTACTGGAAAACTTGGAATTCAACCTGCAGGAAAATGAACCAAGACCCTTACTGCACCCCCCACACAAGGACAAATTTAAGGTGGATCACAGACCTTGAGATTAAACTCAATATTATCAGGATCACGAAGGAAAAATAGGGAAAAAACTAAGAAACTTAATGCAGGGAATAAATGGGTTACCAGCAATACATGAAGTATACACACCCAGAGGAAGATAAAATAAAGTTGTGGGACATTCTAAAGATAAAACACTGTGTGCATCAAAAGAGAGAGAACCCACAGACTGGGAAAAAATATTCAGCAATGACATGTCAGACAAAGGTCTTATTACTAAAATGTACAGAATGCTGCAACCCTACCATAAGAAGACAATGAATAGGAGGAGATGGGAAAAGACTTGAACAGGAGATTCCTAAAGGGGGAAACCTGAATGCTGCCAAGCCCATCCCAACCTCTAACGGCCCTGTAGGCTAGAACAGAACTACCTGTTTGGATTTCCAAGTTACCTTGGGTTACTGCACCGTTGAAGTTCAAGGCCACTAGCCGTTCCCTGGGCGAAAGACGGGACATTTCCCTCTAGTTCAGAGTCCCAGTCTTGCAAATTCACAGGGGCGGTTCTACCCTGCCATATAGGATCACTATGAGTTGTTACCGATTGATAGCAGTCAGAGAGAGATTTAATCCTTTTGTTTTGTTTTGTTTCGTTTTTTAAAAAAATATTTTATTGGGGGCTCGTACAATTCTTATCACAGTCCATACATACATCCATTTTGTCAAGCACATATGTACATTTGCTGCCCTCATCATTCTCAAAACATTTGCCTTCTACTTTAGCCCTTAATATCAGTTGCTCATCTTCCCCCTCCCTCCCCACTCCCCCCTTCCTCATGAACCCTTCATAATTCATAAATTCTTATAGTTTTGTCATAAGTTACACTCTGTAAGGGAGCATCCAGCCATATCTTTCTCCTTAGAGTGGCTAGTTGATTCAAGAATCCTAACTTTTGGTTGACAGATGAACGCTAAAGCACTATACCACAGGGCTGCTAATAAGTATGGTGAAAGGATATAAGCCTTGATGCATACATTTTCGTATTTCAGAACATACCATATTACCTTGTTGTGTTCAAATGACTACAGCTTGGTCTGTATACAATATATCTAGCAATATGTATATCTGAGAGCTGTACAATGAAGGGGAAAAGGTATTTTTATGCAAGGATTCATATAAAACTAGAAATCAAGACTAACATAAAAGACAATACTTTTTAAATATAATGTTGAAATATATATAAATGGTATGGAGAGATATAAAGATAGATACAGATATGAGATTATTAAAGATGCTCTTGCAGGTTAAAGACAATAACTGCAGAAAGACGGTCGAGCATGTGGATGTAGGACTGAGGTAAATGAGAAAGAGAAGATTATGACGTCAAAAAAGTACAGAAAATCCAGGCTACTGGGTTACTACACTGGTGGCAGTGTTGCTTGATTTTTTTTTTAATACGATGAAATATCATTCCCTAATGATTCACTTGTACTCTCAGTAGCGTGAAATCAGGTTTGGAAATCTGACCATGCGCACATCCTCACAAGACCCTTTCTTATGAGTTACTGCAATAAAGATTTAGCAGAAAGTGATTTCCAAATTGCCAGAGTCCATTTTTTTCAAGGCCAAATTTCATCCATCTACTCTGGCACCTACTCCAGCCTATGCCAATGTGTGCATACACCATATATTTTTCTAGATGTTAAACTCATCTTCATAGATGAAGAAATGGGTCTGTCCATACCAGACACTGCATAGAATAACCATAAGACAATAGCATCGATATCATTCAATCATTTCTTCATTTATTGAAATAATTATCACTTTATCATTTCTCACTGATGAATTGCCCAATTAGGAACAATAGGTATCTGCTTTTGGAGGGTCCCTGAATCCTTCCAGCACATTCTCCCCATCCCAGGATGGTATGGCCTGCTTTGAGACTGAACAACTAATTAATTTAACAACTGCAAATATTTCCTCAATGTTGTACAAATACAAAACAAACCAACAGAACAATCATTGATAAAGAATATAGGGACTGTCTAATTGCCAAGCAGATATTTACAAAACTGATTTTCTGATGTCACTATTCAAGGGATAGCATCCAGTGCTACTTGAGCTGCAAGAAGTACAAAAGAAGAGACAGCTCTCCATATGATTTAACGATGATGCCCTGGAGGATTGCAGACAACTGACAGTGGGCCCAGTTAACTGCACAAATAGCACCTTGGTCGTTTTCTTTCTTTCTTTTTTAATTAAGATTTCTTTTATATCAAAAAAATTATTAAGTTTCCCTTACTGCAAAAATATATAAAATACTTACATTATTAACAGAAGAGCGTACTGGTTTCGGTCCGTAAAATCTTTGGGAAATGACAACTGTAAAGGAAATTCTTTTAAAAAAAGAGCAAAATATTAAAGATGGAGAATCATTTGGGTTTAAAACTATAAGGTGCATAGAAAGCTGATCTTGATTAACATGGCATGCAGAAAGCTTTACCGTAGTCGTCAAGATGAAGCATTTTAATTTCTGGCTTGACAATCTTCTTCTTCAGCACAGCTTCCTTTAACAGAGGATTGCTTTCCAACATAAAATATCCTGAAAACAAAAAAAGTTAGTGTAGATAGCCACCTGATTTGAGTTGATAAAGAAAATCAATGTAATACATGAAATCATTATCTAGCAATAAACATTTGGCAGCCACTGTGCTAAGGACTAATACCATTCTCATTTTTCTCCTGATGGATTACACTGTTTTTAATAGTTTCTGAAACCCAGTGACATTTTCCATGTTGGCTTTGTATGTCAGAATTCACCTTTATGAGATTGTCTATCAGATTGTGTCAGTGCTCTGCTCAAAAATATTTAAAAGGATATAAAACTATATGGACCACCATGTAATGACATTGTGGACAATATTAGTGTCTGGAACCTAATACAAAACTACCAGGAAAGGAGCAAATATTAAAGATAAATAAACAGAAACAGAATCACACTCACCACAATGAGAATAAATGGAAATAAACCCAGAAGTGACAGAGGTGGAAAAATTGATAGATAATGACATGAACAGAGCTATTGTGACTACATTCCATACCAAGAAAACCAAAGCACAGCATGTTAATAAAAAATAATATAAGTACCGAAATTAGTTTTCTAAAATTAAAAACTGTAAAATCCAATAAAGACATGAAAGCACAGTACGTGAAGTGAAATTGCATTGAATTGGATGAGCAACACAATAGATATTGCAGAACTGAAAATTAATGAATGACAACATAGTAACAGAATATGCTTAAAATGAAATGGACAAATAATTTAATTTTTTAAAAAGTTGACGAGAACATAAGTAACTTGTCAATGTAAGCTGGTGAGTTATATTGATTAACTGTTAAGTGTTACAATATGAATAGATTGCTGGTATAAATCCCAGATGATGATAGTACATTATCCTTTATATTAATTGTTGTGGGTTATTTGGTAGCATTTTCTTAAGGTTGTTTTTCATCTCTGTTCATGAGAAAATGTTATCACTATAACGCCTATATCTAAAAAATTACAAAAAGTCTCATTATTATAAAATGAGTTTAAAAGTGTTACCTCTTTTAAAAATAATTTGTGTGAATTAGGTATTAATTCAATAAATAAGGGATAGCATTCAACAGTAAATCTAACTAGATTTGGAGATTCTTGGTAGGAATAATATTAGCGGTGGATTAAAATTGTATCAGGTCATCAGTCATTTAGGTATAGTTTTCCTTATTATATTAATGTTTATAAATTTATATTTTAATGCTTTTATCCAATTCTCCTAATATGTCAAATTTACTGACATAAAATTATTATCTTCTATAAGGCTTGCAAGGTTGTTATTAACATCACCTCCTTCGATGAATGGAAGTGGTAATTACACTTTTCTTTTTTCTTTATAAATATATCTATAACTTTAACAATATCATTGCTTTCCATGAAGAAGCATCTTTAGGTGTTATTTTATATAGTCTCTTTACTGCCTTCCTTCTTTTGTATCACTCATTTTTCTTCTTAATCTTAACTTGATCTTATTTACCCTTCTTTTTCTAGTTTCTTCAGGGGAAAACTTAGATATGTTGTCTTTCATATGCAATCATTTGAAAATATTTCCTAATTATTTTAAAGTCAGTTTTCTAATTATTTGAATTAAGTTGTTCTAATTATTTGAATTGTTTTAATTAATTCAAAATATTGTCTAATTATTTTACATTAAGTTTTCTAATTATTTGAATTAAGCCTTTATATGTTAGAAGTGTACTATGTGGGAATTTCAAATAATTCAATGCTTTCCAGATTTAGTTCTGCTGTCTATCTTCTAAGTCTTTTGATTTTTAAATCTAAACAGACATTTTGTGGTCTAGGACTTGGTCAAATTTAAAAAAAACCCACATAGGCAAAACTTCCTGCTAGGTAGTGTTCTATAAAGGAAAATAATACCAATTTGGTAGATAGTGTTTTTCAAATTCTCTTGAGAGAGAAGTAATGCTTTATGGGGTGTCCATTTCTTCTTTTAAGAAGATCTGGTAACATAGTGAATAAGTGCTCAGCTGGTAACCAGAAGGTTATGGGATCAAAACCACCAGCCGCACAGTGAACGGGAGATGTGGCAATGTGCATCTTTAAAGATGAGTGTCTTCAAAGCTCTGGAGCACCATGACTTTATGGTTTAGGCTTATGCTGAGTCAGAACCCATTTAATGGCAATGAATGAGCTTGTTTTTCTTTTGTTTACTCTGCTCTTTAGGTGTATAAATTTGGATCCAGAGATTTTACAAGCATATATGTAGCATTATTATGTCTTCTTGATGAGCAGAAACAGTTATTATCATGGGAGTTTAATAAAGGGATGATTACCATGTATGTACATTGTGCATGGAATTTTTAAGAAGTGATAAAGTAACTGAAAGCTGGTGACAGTGGGTAGTGCTGCGTGCTCAGGGAATAGAGCACTTACTAGAACCTCTACAGAAAAGGTTCGGTGAGAGCTCCACATTTGGAGAAAGGTGTCTAAGCCAAGGGTAGCAGCCAATTTGTGGTAATTCTACAGGGTGAGAAACCCCACCTCATCTCCCTCTCTTTGCTTTCAGGAGTCCCGTTTAGTGAATCTAATCAGCAGTCACTGGGCAAGGAAAGCTGGTAAGGTTTTTAACGCAAAGTCCTACTCAGGCACTGAACATGGCCAAGAGGGACAGAGAATAAAGAGTGGTTGTGACAGCGCAAATGGAAGAGTCCAGTAGGATGAGCAATATTCAATTGACCTATTTCTAAATTGCTCCCTTTGATTCCTTATAATATATTCCTAATAATTCCTAGTAATATTCTTAATTCATAATCATTTTATGAGAATATTCTCTCTCTCTCTCTCTCTCTCCCTGTCCCTGTCCCTCTCCATCTCTCAGAAGCAATGCATAAGGTTTTCAGTAGCTTCTTCCTCCGGAGGTGGGATGGAGACCTTCTTCATTCAGGTCTGCATAGGGTTGTTACGGGTCAGAGGTGACTCAAGGCCACCTAACAACAACCTCCATCTATCTATCTATCTATCTATCTATCTATCTATCTATCTATCTATCTATCATCTATCTATCTACCTACCTACCTATCTATCATCTATCTA